AAGTTATACGAGACGCTCAAATAGCTGCCTGTCGCTTTCATCTCCTTTTGCGACCGAGTTTCAGCCTCTCGATGTCCCTTCGAATTACCGACTTGGTAATTAGCCGTCCCATTCTCCAGAAACGCAACTGCAGTCAAGCTCTTCTGGGAAACTACTTTGGTGGAAACTTGCTTGTTGCTGCCCCAAATATGCCTTGTTTGGTTTTGTTTACTGCAGTCTTTCTACTTGCGCGATGATAACTTCACGACAAAGGCATCGAAGTTCTGACAAGAAGTTTGGTGGCAGTCTGGATCGAACCCTGGGCATTCTAACATAACCCGAAGAATCCACGCGCGGAAGATTCACGCTTTCGGGAGCATTTCGATCGGTATGGAAACAATGTGGTTTGGCTTTTTCATGACATTCCTAAATAAGGGCTTCGAGTGAAATTAATTTGAATAGGAATGTACTTCTGGCGCTGAGAATTTCGAATCCCCTTATACGGTAGCCCTCTTCACCCCTCTACCCGTTGTGGTTGACTGGACGGCAGGAGAACTTTCGAAACCGCTAGTGCGTGTGCACTCGACGTCAACTCTGTGTCATTCGGTCACGAATGCAAACGGCGGCTTTAATCTGTTATGAAAGTTCCGTCGCAGCTCTCATTGAGCACGCACGCAGGCAGTTCTTCACATGCCCCCGCTGGACATGATCCGGCTTGTATCGTGCCAGGAATGGACTCTGATCTGCGAACCCTCGTCATAAGGGGCGAAAGATGTGGCGTGGAATCTGCAGAGGTGAACCGCACGCTTAGGGAGATTCGAAAGAGGAAATGAGGACAACGGTGAGGCACTGTTGATGTTGTAGACCGATCCCAAGCGGGTCGAAGCTGTCCTCCTCTATCCCACAGGATCGGACCCATGGCGCCAAAGTATTCGTCCCTGGCTGGCGTTCGCATATTCTGAAATCGGTGTCGTCGACTCTGACACATGTTTTTGGGCGAATTGGATTCGCAAAGGACACGCGCACTTTTGGGCCTTCTTATATCGCCCTCTTCATGTTTTTGCTTCCTTGAATTTACGGCTCTACTGCACTTTTCATTCCAGTGTTTTGTGAGATAAAGTGCGAGCTTAGGACAACACATCATCGCCAGTGCATTGACGCCAAGAGGGGCACAGGCAGACACAGCTCGAACGTTTTTTTTCTGTTCAGCCCTAATACCTTATCGGAGAGCTTAGGCCAGCGATCTCTACGACATGTGCCCTGAGGGGCTTTCTTTGGATACTCCTAGCAGCAGCCTCATGTATTGAGATGATCTGTATTCCACCACGGTAGTCCCTTTGCGCAACTCTCTTTAACCGATCAACCCTGCTCGTAGTCCTAGGCCCTAGGCAAAATGAATTTAGTCCACAGAGGAACTCGCTACGAACACAGTGAATCCCTGCCCTTTTTTGAATGCACTGAGACGCCTTTCACACCGTAAGTAATGCCCAGATGATTCTTGGCAGTCTTGCAGAGGAAGAAACTTTTCCAACAATGAGGTATTGCCAGCATTCGCCCGCTGCGTCGCCCTCACGCTGCGCTTCGCAGACGGTTCGTGGCGATGCACGTAAAGACTTGAGCCACCTGTAAATGCATTGGCTCACAGAATAGGCAGATGTCCTTTGTTTGGTAACGGTTTCCAGAGCTTAAAGTAGATAAGGAGATTTATGACATCATGTAAGACATGTGTCAAGATTTAAAAATGCCATGGCAAAAACGCTTTTGTCCAGCGATACGAAAGTCAACCTGCTAACAGTCAACTACTAGACTCCCAGATGGCTTCTGCGCCATGGATATCCCTGAAATTATTATGCAATCCATTCTCGTGTCCTTGCAATAATCCGTTCGTTAGGGCCGGCAGGCTACTCGTGCAACCGCGCCGGTCCAACTCGGTCAAAAAGTCCAAAAGGAGCTCGATAGTCAATGTGTTAAAACACGAAGACCAAGAATGGCTGGTACTTTTCGTTGACATGCGGATCTGAAATGCCTAAAAAAGGAACTTCATTATTAGGAAGATACTTTCGCTCCATGAAATCGAGCTCATTACTGGACTTCAAACACGTGACTGCATGATTCCTGGTTAAAAGCGGAGTTTGTGATCAGAGGACAACCCATTAGAATCAAGGCAGAGGTGGCCAGTGGTGCGGCATGAAGCAAGAACCATGAAATCGGCCCAGAACCCGAAAAGGAACCCTCTTCTTGCCTATTAATTCACGCATTGTTCAGTCCTCACCAGTGTTCCTCTTCACGAGCTAAGCGCTCATCCGTCGATCACAGGTGAAGACCTGCGACGAGTGGTTAGTCCGTCGATGGGCGTGCCGCGTCGTTAGCGGCGCGGGACTGTCATGCTAGATTGCCGAGAGCATATTTCCCGCCTGTGAAATGCTTGTCGATCTCAACTTGAGGGCGTCGCCTGCTTCTTCCCACTAGGTAGGTTTCTCCCTCTCGACCTTCGACCGATCGTGGAATCCTACTCATGTATTTGGACTCGAGAAGCATCGGGGGGCGGCCCATGATTCGTGCGAATAATCTGTTTCCAATACAGTCGGTATACCTTTACCCTGTTTTAGGAGTTCACGTATTTGGTGGAAGAACAGATTCATCAGGGGTGCAAGGCGTGAGCCCGCTGATCTCCGCGATGGTTTAGTCAATCACTGCAATCGAGTGCCGGAGATCGAGTGTGAAATATGAAAGGTCACACCTGTTTGTAGTGTTCTAAATCGGGACGGCGTTACCGAAACTATGAGGAACAGTGGAAGGGAGGAAGGAAGGTGCACCCCTTTTGGGGTGGACTTGCTCCACAGTTTTAAGGATAGTGAGGAGAATCCTCTGAAGAACTCTAGTGGAGTTTTTAGAGAAGCGTCAACTGAAAGGCATACGACATCCTACGACTTGCCCGTTGTTTTCTTGACAATTTTTTCGTCCTACTTCGGGCGGTGGTCGGTTCCACCGGTTCCCCGTGTTTAGTCTGAAATCGTCAAATCAGCAGCGCTGCTATGAAGAGGTGTTTGGATTGTAGTCGAGTAATAAGCTGCCGCTTGAAGTGAATCCCACAGCCAGCTCGGCATTAACTCGTATAGCGAGCATCGATTGATTACTGTACGATGTACTTTCCTCGGGAGGTGAATGTCATGTCGGTTTTGTGCCCGGCACAACCAATTTGCCCATATTAGTTCTTACCATTGGGACGTCCGCATGGCGATTTGCGAGCTTTTTTCAAATTTTTTCGAATTTTGATCGATTGGGCACTAAAACGCGGAAACAGTGGTCCCCCCCCTGCTAGAACAACATTATGGTTTTAAGCTAGAAGTGAGTAGTGCCTTCTCTGGGAGCGCTGGGATGAACTAGCGCCGCGCCAATAAGGAATGTTCCTAGCGCTGGCACATGGAAGACCGCTGGATCTCAAAGCAGATGTTTGGAAATGTAATCTACAGGTCAAATCCCTCGCATGCTCTGATTTCACCAGCACGTTTGCGCTCACACTGCGCTGGACGACAACTGCTTCTTCGCCAGAGCATTCGTAACTTCTCAAGTGGTGTGCCCGAGAGTTTCCTACTTCTCCCCCAGCGTGCCACAGGTCTTTTCTTTCTGGGGTCCCGCGGCGGACGCTCGTGGTTTTTTGCGCGGCCGAGGCGACCCCCGCCTTTCCTCCAGGCAGCCTTCCTGATCTGTCATTTGCAGGTTCATTTTCAAAGAGCTTAAAAGCATACTAAATAATACAGTCAAGTGGATGGCGCTCCCTTTTCTTAGCGACTAAACTATGTGCGGCCAGTTCGCGAATAAATCTGGGAGGACTCTAAGATTATTTGTTAATACAGCGGAAACAAGGGGGGCAGAACTTGTGGAGTTAAAGTACATGAAGAAAAAGGGAAGAAAGAAAGAGAGCAAACGGAACAGAAAAACAGTAGTGAGATAGAGAGGCTTGAAATAGAACAGAGACGAATCGAGCCGGCACCCTTTGGGCCCTACACCCTTGCCGGTAATAGTGCTCCGTGCCCGTCCAGAGGACCGAAATGAGCGATCCCCTAACGAGATCCCTGTCCCTCGCTCGGATCCTTTCGAGTAAATAGCGTACCGTACAATAAATAGGGATTGTAATCACCTTACCCGTGCCTAATTAACTAATTTGCGACTCCAGGCGAACGAGGGAGACCTCAAGGTAGGAGACGGTCAACTTCAGGGCTCACCGCGCGACTAAAGGCACTTCTTCGGAACCTATGGGTATTAGGAAATCATGCTAAATCTAATATATACTTTGAATATTAATCGGTAGCACAAAACAATTACCAAGATACTATAACTCAGGAGGGCTTATTGCAGAAAATATTTAGCGCCTGGAGTAATGCGGCGTCGTCGTATTCCGCTTACCAGGAAGGTCTTTCAGGGCGTGACAAGCTTTTTGAAAACGGTCTTTTGCATGATATAGGGGCAGATGCGGGAACCACAGAACCATGTTTAATTTTTCCTGAACGGCCTCTGAATACCAGAAAAGGAGGTCCCTAGTTCGATTCCTCGTGGTAACAAATTTTTGCATTTCGAGTTGACGTTCCAAAATTCGCGCAAGGGTTGCTGACGGAACCTAATCAGAATATGGTACTAATTATTCATGCTAACTCCATTTTGCGCGAATTTTGGAACGTCAACTCGAAATGCAAAAATTTCACCACGAGGAATCGAACTAGGGACCCTTTTCTGGTATTCAGAGGGCCGTTCAGGAAAAATTGAACCATGGTTCTGTGGTTCCCGCATGTGCCCCTATATCATGCAAAAGACCGTTTTCAAAAAGCTTGGCACGCCCTGAAAGACCTTCCTGGTTAGGAGAATTTTCATCACCCGTTCTTAGCCTGGAAGAAAACTAGGGTTTCATTAAATGGAGATCTTGGGAGTCGGATGAGCGATCTATTTTGGGCGTTGAAGGGTAGCACTTTGAAAAGTAGTACAGAAAAAGGGTCAGTGTTCTGGCCAGCAGCCTTAGGACCGCCGCGAGGGAGTGTGGAGCTACTTTTTAAGCACTGATTCTGCATTTCAATGTGTCTTATCCCTTTCTCAGTAAGGCCGAATTTTTAGCGAAAATCGTACCGAATGGACAGTGAGGGTCTTTTCTTTCAGCATTACGCACCATCTCTTTGGCAGTCTGCAGATTCAATTCGTAGTAGCATTGTTTTAGTGGTGTTTGGTGAGAAAGCGTTATAGTTTAGGCGCAAAATCCCAGTTGCAAGCATGAACAGCAGAGGGTTTCAGGGATCAAGCCAGGGTTGACAGGATTGTTTCGATTGTGGCAGCTTTGGCCCAAACGGGGCCATCTGTCCGTTGCCTCTTGCATGCGCTGACAACTTGCAGCGAAGGCGGCCATACCTAGGACCAAGGAGGGTCGTCTTACAGCGCGCAATTTGCGCCCTGGGCAACTTTTCAAGGCCTCGCGCTCAAAGAAGGACCCTCAACCGTAGCCGGCAATTCGTGCAGTTACGTGCGACGAGCATGCGTGCCCGCCGCAGCATTGTGGCGACGACGACGCTTTTTCTTCCAGATAAATCATGGTGGAAACCCGTTTCGCTGCTGGTCGTCACTGACTGAATTACCTTACCATTTCTTGTAGTCGTCACAACAAAGTGCACTCTTCACGTTCGGCACGGAAATTGTTTCGAAATTGCGTGCGTTTTGTGGCAAAAAAGGCTGGCGGGCGCTGGCTGCTGGGCCGAGAGCTGGCCAGTCAACGCAGGAGTTTTGCCTTGCGAGAGTGCAGTACGAATTGACGACGAGCCTACGGACATTGCATGGAAATAACGTCGAACAGTAAAGTGCGAGCGCACTAATATGTGCGAACAGCTAGTTTTGCTGTTCTTGTAGATAGCTGGGCGTTTTTGCACATCTGAACAATTAAACACGAAGCTCTGCACTTGAACTCTGGCGCTACGTCATCCCCCATTAACAAGTGCACGCCGCGGGCGCTCGTTGACAGCAACGTGCGTTTCGCTTCCTATTTCTGAAGCGACAAGTTTGCAGCCATCAGAATCACCTTCATACCCCAGAGGGACGGATATGCGTGCCAAAAAGCCCGAGCTCATCCTATCCGGGTCATCCTACTCGCACCTTACCACAGTAGCATTGGAAACCAGAGGAACTTCATTATTTCAAGATTTTCCGGGCTGGTTTCAGGGTACAGTCCGCGAAACTGCGGCCAGCCTCTACCCAACCATGCAGGGGCAGATTAAGTGCTTCTAAAGCTATTTCAATTCCTGGAGAAAATCATCTATCAAACAGTTTATACAGTTCGCTTAACGACAATGGCAGTGGCATCGGACAAAAACGACGTCACGTAGGAATACAACAGGGGACATACTCGAGAACAAAAGAAAGAGACAGCTGGGAAACACAACGACGTATAGAAGCAAATTAAAGCGTTAACAGTACATGTTTCTCGTGGAATTATACGGTTATACATGTAGAATGATAGAAATGTATGAATAGTTCCTGAAATGTTGAGACTCATTCAGCAGCAGCGATGCGCGCTGGCAAAAGGGATGCTTTCTAGCGAGAGAATGGGCCTGGGAATGTTCGAAAACAGATGTGGGTCACAATCAAGGAAGCTCAATTCCGTGGACCATGTAAGGACACTGAGGGGGTGACAAGTGGATGCCGAAGACCTCGGCACCGCTCCTTGTCTACGCTAGACGTGCTCTAGGACTTGCAAACTGGCTACGGCTCTACTCGGCGGTGACAAGCTCGCGACAAATGGCGTGCTCCATCATCTCGGCGAACGACTTCTTCGGTGAGCCGGCGCTCGTGTACCCAGAGTCGTTCTTGGGCGACGGTGTCGGCTCAGACGATTCCCCAACATAACCGCTCATGCTGGAGAACGCCATCAACGCATCCATACCGTCCATCATCTCAGAATCCAGTTGTTTGCGCTGAAAACGTGAAGTCAGACTGAGGTGACCGGCATCTCCACAGTTTTTGCCTCTCTATAGTGCACCAGCACTTTCGACAAGTATCACAATTAAGTCAACACGACAACTTGCCCCCCCCCCCAACCAAGGAACTGCGCACGACTGAACAGTTTCTGTGCGAGCATCACGAATAAATAAATATGGCTCTGCGGAATTTCAAGAGCGCAACTACGTGAAGAAGGCAAATTTTCGACAGCAGTACTTGATCATAAACGAATTGAACAAACCTGATATTTGGGGTGATGACGGAACGGCGAGTCGGGGCCGATCGAGTCGGGCAGGTCCTCATCGCGGATTATTCGCCTCAGGGCAATCGCAGGCTCCTCGATCAGATCTGCCAGTCTTTCCGGTGATGCGCGCTTAGCCGCCACAGGTGGCGGACTGCTTGCGCTCAGTACTGAAACTGAGAGCAAATATAAGCAAAGTAAGGCGAGTGTCGAGTCAATTGTACATCTAATTGGGCTCTGCTGTAGCGCGGAAAACGTCTCACCTCTGGCAGCATCTTTTCGGAGCTTCTCGTCCAAATCGCTGGTCGACGGCGGCTGGCGGATTCTGATCGGAGCGTCGTCCTCTTCGTCAACGAGCATCCTCAACACACTTGACTGCTCCTCTTCCTGAGCTTTGCGCGACCGCTTGCGCCTTTTCTCGGGCGTTGCTGTGGGCTAAAAGAGCGTCTAATGAGTCTGGCTCTTCATGCAAAAGCTAATGATACTGTATACTGATTCTGTTCACTGACGCGACGACACAGTGGTGGTGTCCTTTCTGTTTACGTACCCAGGACCAGAAACGACTGAACTGACTCATTCCCACCCTGTACTTTCACTGGGGCAAAACATCGCCTACCTTAGGTCGCTGAAGTGCAGCAGCGCTTGAGAATGCTCTTGGTCGCGAATCGAGCACCGGCAGGCCCATCGCTGATGAAGTGCTTTGACGAAGACTCTGAAAAACATGGATGGAATAATATGCATTCCACACAACACAGAATATCATTGCTCCACTCACATTGTTCGTCATCAGCCCTAAGCTCTCGATTGTGGAGTGTGGAGGAAGAGTGCTCGACACCTGACCCATTGGCAGCAGAGGGAACATGGGGAATCCATGAAGTGGGAATAAGCCGAGCGAGAGGGCAGCCAGCTGATCACTGGGGATCGACGGAAACAACAACGACTGCTGCGATGTCGATGTGTCCGTGTTCGAGCCGTCCTTGGGCTAAAAAGAATTCAATCAAACACCATCAAGCAACCGAACTATTGAAAACTTACCATATTGGGCAGTGGCGGCAGTTTGGAGAAGTCCGGCATGGTCGCAAGCAGCGCCTGCAGGTCCAACGTGGGAGCGATGGTGGTGGCAGGGGCGCCGTCAGTATTCATCTGGAATTGGAGCTGATCGAGAAAGAACGAAGGGAAATCAGAAGCGAAGGCACAACGCCGACGGATGACTGAGCAGAGCGAAGTGTATGTGCGAGTACATGCGAAAAATGCTGGGCAATGGACATACGTTTCCCCCGATGTGGTGGGCGTGGCTGGGGAAGTACAGCAGCGCCGACATAGCGGAAAGTGCGGAAAACAGTGACCTTTTAGGACACTGACAGACGGTTGAAGTGCACTGGCTAGCAATGAACGACAAAATGAGGAGTGTCGAACGCCAAGATTCTGTCGCTGCTGAACGGGCAGGTTGTGACATTCCCCGGAGACGAGCTCCAGCTTTCGAATGATGCGTTCCTGCTCCACAGCTAGCTGTTACACGGCGGAAAAACACCTAGGGCACGTTTGAAGGGCAACCCATGAGTTGTGAGAGAGGGGAGTGTTGCGGATTGGGCACCACGTTCATCTCCACGTAGAAAACGCAACTAATGGAGAGCGAGAGTGAAAAACATAACGTTGTGAGTAATACGCAACAGAGGGACCGCCCACTTGGGGGAAGACGCATGTGATCGATGTTTTCCCTTTTGGAGTCCAGCGGCGGTAGTGACGAGAAGCGAAAATACAAAGGTCGTCTCAAGAAGTACGGTCTCCGCGCTCGCTGCTGGCATTCGCGTTGGCTCCAGCGTGTGGCTGACAAAACAATGGATCGAAAACACGCCCAGTTTCATCAGAGAGCCAGCTGATCGACTGCGAACTGCAGACGGCCAGCAGAACGACGACGCGAAACGCCGCCGTCGTGGTCGAGTGTGTCTTCATGTGGAATGGCGACGACGAGAAAAACGTAGGAATTCTAGACAATTCACGTATGCTGCAGTTTCCAAGCGATTAGCCCGAACGACGGAAAAAACTCAGTGCAAAGAGAAAGAACGCGATGACGTGCTGACGCCCGACGCGGTGTGATAGTCGTTGACGCCGTTGAAGGGGAAGAGGCGAAGCAGAAAGGCCGTGCACATCCAGAAAGGCTGCCCCTAATAAAGACAGACCTAGGGCTATTTGAACAAGCCCCTTTCCTGAAGGGGAGGAGCGAGCAGTAGGAATTTTCGTGCCATGTGCACTTTCGGAGCTGCAACTAAAGTGCATTCGCGGGAAAGTTTCTCAGAAAAGTCTAAAAGAGTCAAGTGCACGATCAGAGGCAGTTTTATCCACGAAAGGGATGTCAGATGAGGGACGAGGCTGGAACTGACGAAGAAAAAAGGCAACTGCAAAACAGAACGCGATGTCGACGGCGTGATGGACTGGAGGTTTTCTGAATGGGCGTGGACTCGACGACGGCCACGGCCTCAGCCACGACGAAATCGCATGGCGCGTAAACATGCCCTTCCCCCGTTCCCGTTCTCCCCTTCGATACTGCGGGCGCGAGCCGAGACGAGTGATCTCTAGTTTTAGTACACTGCGGAGCCGCAATAACAAGCAAAACCCCTGCGCACTGTTGGTGAGGGCATCTGACCGCCACGGACACATCCTGTTATTCGCCCAGCAATGCCAAGTGTCTCCTGCATATCTACTGAGTTGTTGGCCAGGGAGAATAGCACGTAGCTTGTGAGGTAAACAGTGGGCGGCAAAGAGGCCCTAAGGGGGTCCCTGGAAAGCCATTGCTGGAATTGTGGATTCTGTCATTGCTAATTAAGAAGAATCATTACGTCCTCTTTCGAAATTCGACGAACAAGGCAAAGTGAGGAATCGAGAAGAATGAGAGATGAGACGGTTCTCTAGGAAGCAAAGTGCAGGCCAAGTGTGCATTTGACGGTGTCGCTCAGACGAGGCAGTTATCCAGAGACAAGTGGGAGTCACAGCGGCCGTTTCCGAACCAGTTTAGTGTTCAGCTACTGGAAACGACATGGCGAGTCAGGCAACGTCTCAAATGGTCGCAGTAGCGCTCCGCCCTCACTCTGGGCGAGGGCTGAGGGAACGTTCGGGCATTACTACGACTACAAGTCGCTACAACAACAACTCACAACAAGTACGTTCTGACAAACACGTACTCCTCGTTTCGGCGTTTTCACAAAGTGCAACAGGCCATACAGCCTGCCTGATTCCGTCCACGTGAGTCAGCATCAACACGTGCGACTGGGAACAACTGGCCTCGGCAGGAGAGCCTCGTAAACCCAGTTGAGCACGGCACAGACGAAAGTGGAGCAGCAAGAAAGCAAGGAGAGCCGAAGGGCGAAAGGACAGGGCGGCGCATCAGGTTTACAGTGGTGATTAGGTAACTAGTTGATCAATACGGTAAAGAGGAAAGTTGTGGCCACAAGCAGTAGCGTCCAGCCGTTGCGAATTTGGAGCTGCGGGTAACTGTGCAGATGGAGCGAGTAAACAAACCCGTCTGAGAGGCTGCAGCCTAATTTCGAATCGTTAACTGCTTTTTTTAGTCGCACTTCATTCCTGAAAGTTATCACAACAAGTTAGCTAAGTATGAGCTTTTCCCCAGACGGTACTGAAACCCGCATCACCCGCTGACCGGGCAAACGTGCTGTCAACTACCAGTGCACCTCTTCACCTTAAATCAGGTTTTGGCAGTATATTAAGTGCTTCCATTGATTTACCGACCTTTTAAGGGATGGTGGCTGAAGTGCGGCCTATGTTGAGAGGTAGAGCGACCAGTTCACCAGTAAGAAGCAGGGGTTCAGTACAGTTAGCAGCGGTCTTTTTCACATTCACCCAGCAGCATTTTTGCTTTTGTGCTCATCCCATTGTACCTTTGGATCATCACCCATTCATCCCTCATTACCTTTTACGCTTTAGCTTTTGAAAACGGTCTTTTGCATGATATAGGGGCACATGCGGGGACCACAGAACCATGTTTAATTTTTCCTGAACGGCCCTCTGAATACCAGAAAAGGGGGTCCCTAGTTCGATTCCTCTTGGTGACAAATTTTTGCATTTCGAGTTGACGTTCCAAAATTCGCGCAAAATGGAGTTCTGATTGTTCTGGTTGGTTCTAACTCCATTTTGCGCGAATTTTGGCACGTCAACTCGAAATGCAAAAATTTGTTACCACGAGGAATCGAACTAGGGACCTCCTTTTCTGGTATTCAGAGGGCCGTTCAGGAAAAATTGAACATGGTTCTGTGGTTCCCGCATCTGCCCCTATATCATGCAAAAGACCGTTTTCAAAAAGCTTGTCACGCCCTGAAAGACCTTCCTGGTTAGGTTTGTTAAATTAAGACTGAAGTTCAATTTAATTTCATGCCGAAAGGCGCTTGTAAACGAAGAAGGCGGCTCTGCGAAATCGTTCTGCACATTGGCATCAGTTCCTGGAGTTTAAGCGGTACACAATGCATGGGCGTAAAACTACACATCAATTCTTTATTTTTGCCCCTTTACAGAAGTTCCTTGACCTTTTTGCAGAGAATGAATACAGCTGTGTCCGACTGCATGAATCTGGACACAGTAGTGAAAAAACCGAGGCCCCGGCGTGACATAACACCGAGCTGTCGTGCACTTCTGCCCTTCGTCCAGCAATCTTTGAAGAGCAGGCACGTCAGTTGGTTCGGGGGCACTCAGTCACCCCGGATGTTGACGACCTGACTATTCTCAGTGGTTGGGGGAGGTGGTGATCGAGGGCATTTCCTCGGTCCTGTAATCACACAGCTCTCGCTAAATCGAAAACAAACTCTCATTGGGGCAAAGTTCGCCTAGCAAAACGATAGGGCAAAGTAGGTGGCGGATGGAGGCACTCGCAGCACTTTGATCAGTACGTATTCTTTACTTTCCATTGATTTTTTTGGCGATTGGAAATAGTAGGGCATAATTGACTTCTCGTTTTGCCCGGGTATGCCTCCCATGGTTTCCACCCGACTAATCGACTCCGTAATCGTTTTCATGTAACATACAAGGTTAATAAACAATCTATTCGGCACTAAGGCACTTAAAAGGCTTTGATAATCCAGTTGAAGCTCCACAAGCCCACTAGACATTGAAGCGAAGTCGAATGTCTGACGTCCCCTAAGCAGACACCGCAGCAAGCTCTACTCTACCGGTAAACAAATTTCCTCGAACAATGGTTCAGCTTTTGTAGCGCTAGGGCTCCTAGCGAGGGCCGGCCAGCGGAAACTCTCTCTACTGCAACGTTTATGCAACTAAGCGAACCGTGCTCTCTGACAGAGTTCTGTGTTTGGCGTTCTCCTCGGCAAAGAGATGTATGCACAGCTCCAGAAAAAATGGCTTTTCTGGAAAACGTTCATGGGGTCGGAACACATCATTTCACCTCTGTTTCGCCCCAGAAGGGAAGAAAAAACTTATGAGATTCCTCGAAAATCGACAGTAGGCGAAATACTGCCGGAAGAATCCGCCATGGAAATCAAATCATCAAGCCATATTTTTTCCTAAAGCATTGCGTGAGGGGGGGGAGAATAAATTTACCGTTTTACTGCACGTAAATCCCCCGACAACCGTTTTGAGGGAAAAGTGGGAGGAATTTGGTGTGTCAACTGGTCTCAGAATCAAATACTATGGAAACAGTCATGATGGTGGCGGTGATGGTTGGTAGGAAGAAGTGTGGTCGTATTCGGGGAGCCTCCTGAGTCTCATGGTGATGGTTGGGGTTGTATCAAATTCCCCATGGAGGTGGGGGAGGGGTCGTGAAAAATTTCCGAAAAGTACCAACGGTAGGGTCGAGCCTGGTCATGGGCTTTCCATCATCTCTCATATCCTTATAGTAACTAATAAATATGTATAGCCAATAGTGTTATGTATTACCTACATACCGCTACACACCTTCAGGTTGGGCCCTGATCAATCTTTATTCTGCTACATTACGGAATGTGTCACGTACTTCACTAGATGAGCCGTTAGCGAAGTTCTATTACACTGCGTGGGACACATCAGACAACTTGGGGCGCTATCGCAAGATGGGGGGCATGATGCTGGCAGTGCATTTGAAACCGCGTAAAACATCTCCTTTTTGTTAAATGGGACTAAGCCTCAAAAAGGGAGGAGAGACTCCA